AGAAGAAAGAGATGTTAGGGTTATATGGGTAATTTGGAGATTGTATAAAAATATTAAGGAAAAAAACATAAAAATGTGGTCAACTTAAAACAGCTTATAAGCTAAAAAAAAAAAGCACCCCTACCCCAGCTTTTAACTTTTGGCTTAAAATAAGTTTTTTTTAACTTAAAATAAGCTATTTTGAATATTGTCAAACAGTTAAATAAGTCAAAAACCAGCTTTTAAGTCAGTTTGACCAGCTTTTAAGCTGAGCCAAACAGGCTCTTATACTAGAAAAATGACTACTAGCTTGGATTCATACATAATTTGACTAAAATATAATCTAGAATATGGTCCCATGAACAAGTACAGTTAGTCATGACTTTCATTGACTACAAAATCTAGCTTTTAACAATCAATTTGTGTTAAAAGAAAAAAGTTTGAATGAGAGAACTTTGAATTCCATGCTTTCACATATGCAACTAATAAACCCCTTCTTCACTTTAATATCTTTTATTCCTACTTAACAAACTTCACAAAAAGAAATTAATATCCTTCTTGGTCTATATATCAAACAAAGTAGTTTATCTTTATCTTTTTAATCAATTTTATTTGGTAATATTTTCAATATATAAAAAAATAAGACTCATAATTATCAAACATAGAAAGATGTATCGTTACCAAATATAGCAAGTATATATATTTTTTCTAAACATATAGTACAAAACAACACTTCAAATCTCACTGCATAATTTTTAAAAAGTGAAAAGGTGGATTCGATAAAAAAAATTCTGACTCCGTTAGTAATAATAACAATATGCTATTTTATTTGTATTTTACCATGAAATTGATGTTTTAATTAAGTGGGCTCCTTTTAGTTTGTTCAGTAGTATTGTTCAAACGCTTCATCAATCATACAAAGAACATAGAAATAAAGGCAATTATTTAATTTGACGTAATGATGTCCCCCTCCACTCCCCATCAACATCCAATCCCAAATTATTTTCTTAGTTAAATTACTATAGATATTTTCAAAATATTCATTTTTCAAAAAATAATGTAATATAATTTTCCTTGTACCAAACACACTCTAAGACCAAGTCTCGATCTTAACCTACATTTTCTTCTTGGGAAGTTTCAAGTTTGTTACTAAGTAAGAATTTAAAAAAAAAAAACGAAAAAATGAGTTTGTTGCATGTGGAAGTCAAATAATTGCCATGCAATTAGTCCTTTTGAATTTTGATTAGTAATAAAATATATTTGTTGACTCTATTTTTAAAAGCTAAATTCTATATTCAATGAAAGTCATGCTTCTAACTGTCCTTTGTTTTTTAAAAAATAAATTTCTACTTTGATCAACTTATGTCCCAATTATATATTTAATATATATGGTCTTTAATTCCGATCATGAGAATTATGGTAAAATAAATGTATTTTTAAATTTCGTATTCCTTCAATTAAATATTATTAACATTATTATTTGGAGAGTTTCACCAAAAAAAAAAACATAGCTTAAAGTTTTTCAAGAGGCTTGTATCAAATTCTGAAATCCGTCAAAAAAAATAGTATTAAATAACTACTTCCGATAAAAGTTAGGATAGAATATTTATTCCTAGTATTTCAACTATGTACATTTTCTATTGATTAAAGATCTGACCTAATCGACTCAATTAAAAGACCGTGGTTGTTATCTCTTATCTAATTCAATAATTTTCTTATTCCATGGAAGTTCATGATGAACATACAAGGAAAAGACTTTATAAATTATTCCAAATATCTTGTTCAAGAGAAAAGTGTTAGAAAAAAAGTTCTGAAAAAGAAAGCAACATGACAAGGGATTATATTGGCCCCTCCCCTCATTCTTCCACTATTGTGCTTGGTAAAGTTTCTGAAAAATTCACTATAAATATCCATTAATCATAATATTGGAAGACAATAAAGAATAATTGGTGATAGGCATTATAATAATTAATAGTAGCCACCACTCTAGTTTCTCTTCTTGTAATCACAACGACCTCATAATTTGCTATTTCTCTATTTCCAAATCAATTAGTATAACTAGTTCTTTTAAAAAATAAATATTAAATCACTAATTAAATTTTTATCTATCAACATACTACGAATAGTCTATTTTCTATTAAAAGCCACTCAGATGTGTTACTTCTGTATCAAAATACTTTTATTTTTATTTTTTAATGTCAAACCACATAATTTTCTTAAATATTTAATATATTGTATGAAAAAAATTGTAATTTATAATATTTTTCGTAGAAATTTTTGAATATCTTAACTTTTTTGTTGGTATTAAATAAATTCAATCAAATTTAACATTTATAAATTTGTTAAATGAATTCTTAAGACACAAAATATTTTCTCTGTCCAATAATACTTGTTCACCATTGATTTTTCACATGCACACATTAAAAGATACTCCCAAACATTTCTAAAGGAAATTTATTTAATAATAAAAATAAAATAGATAAAAAATAATAAATTATTTCTTAATTTTTCAAATAGGACGTTTCAATATATATAGTTTGAAAGGAATTGATTATGATTCTAAACTATTGTTGGTTTTGTATGATGAAAAATATCATAACCAGTGTTGAACAGACAATGGAGGGTGGTAATCAATCACCTTTTGTATTGGACATCCCCTTTTTATCGGGAGTGTGGTGCACACTGTTCAATAAAAGGTTTATAACGAGCAAAAAGTATGAACAGCTCGTGGCGGATTTAAAATTTTATAGTTATAAAATATTTAATTATTTTTAGTTTGAATTTGTTATTAAAATCCATCGCTCAATGTACATATTTGTACAAGTTACTAGACTTTTTTTATATAAATAATTGTGATGACTCCAAAATGTAATGAGTGCTCAAGCATTCATAAGCTTGATTGCTTGAACATAGATCCACCATTTAAGTGCACCACCAATATTTATTCATAATTTCCTTTTTTAAAAAGATTTAAAATAAATAATATAATGATAATTTATTTCATTTAGTATAAAAAAAGATAAATAATATATGTTAAGTATACTATTAACATTGATATTTTAAGAACAATAACATATATTAATTCAAATTAGATCTAAAATTTTATCAAAAAAAGTCGAGTAAATTTCAATATTTACAATAGCGCATGATCAAATTATTTATTGTAGATAAAATTTCAAAAGATTTAGTGGGAATCTATCAGTAGTGAATGAGCGTTGCACTAAAAAAATATATTCATACTCTTACTTGTTCCTATTTTACTATTTTCTTCGGTACTTTTTAGTATGTTATTTTTTAGATTTTACTTGTATATAACAAATTAAGTTTACAATTTTATTCTTATTTGATATACTTTTAAAATCAATTTTTTAATAAATGAATAAATTATTCATCTTTTTTTAAATTTCTTTTTGTAAAGATTTTTTTAAAAAAAATTAGATTTTATAGAGTAGTGTGGTGGTTAGAGTAATAAATAAATGTATGAAGTAATTACAATGAACATTAATTACTTATTAGTCTTTCTAGGTTGCTGAAATATTTATTTTTAATACTAATTAATAACAAAAAAACTAGGTATAATAGAAAAAATATTATAATTTATTCATGATTTCATTCATTGAAATGACAAATATGATGGACCAACTATTTATAGTAAGGATGACATGTAAAAAAAAAGAAGTATAATAAAAATAGTTTTTCATACACATTAACAAAAAATGTTAGTAAATCTTTTTAGCATTAGTTATTGGCATTAAATTTAGTGTCGCTATTAATTTTAAGGACATTTACAAAAAGAACAAATTGTCACTAAAAATAAATATTGACAATAATTAAGTAATTACAACTAATTAATTGTCTCTAAAAATTATTTTAAATTCTCGTAAAAATCTATAGCTAAAGTTTGTTAATTATATTTTGAAGACAAAAATACATACGGTTGACAAATTTTTACAAACAAAATAGCACAACAATATATTCAAAGAACGTAATTATTTAAAACCTACCCAAAGAAATAAAAGATGTTTTTTTTGTCATTTACTCTGATGTGCTATATGATTTTTATTCGCGTTTCCCCCAAAAAAATTGGTTATTGAGATATGAATTTGATAAAATGTTTTAAGATATTTTTTTTTTGTCACCACACGTTATATGACCATAGGATATTCTTTTATAGATTTTTTGCTTAAACGAACAACCCTTTTCTTGGCATTGTATGTTCAATGTTATGAAATTGTTTGTATCCCAGGTAAGAGAAAATGATCAAAATTGGTCCTTAACCTATGATTTTCATTTTATTTGATGTATAAATATGATGGAAAAGTCGTGAATATATTTAAAAATGAAATCAAATTGGTCCTAAATCATATAAGTAAAGATAATCGTTATTCTTATTTTTATTAAAACAGATGTTTTTGGTATCAAACTACCAAATAAATATATATTATTGTAACATTCGATACGATTTAAAATGCACATCAAACTTCATAACCCAAACTTGGAAGAGACATAAAAAATCCTTCAAAGATAGAACTTGAAGAAAATCGCAAGTTTATAGTAAATAATATTAAAGGAAGTCTAAGATGCCGAGAGCCTTAGTCTATTTTAACAACAAACACAACGATTTTCTTTACTTATATGTCTTGGGACCAAATTGATCACCTTTTAAATTTAAATACATTAAAAATCATTTCCAACATATTTATACATTAAATATTTATAGTAAATATCAAATGCACTAAGGTCAGTTCACATTTCTTTTCTCTGTTTGTTAAAATTTAAGGGTGAAGGAACTAGTTACGTGGCTTTTAAATACTTGTTGAGGGCATTTAATAGTCAATGTCAAAGTCTTTTTTTTTTTTTTGTTTAAAGTTTAAATTATGAAATACTCCATGTGTGTTAAGTAATTGGTATTAGCATAACACATTCACTGTAATTTCTCAATTATTTCCATCTAAACAACCATTTAGGGGACCACATAGACGGGGGGCTAAATTTTCTGTATATAAAGCAGAACCCATCAGCTCCATTTCTTACACAAATTTTCTATACCTCTCCAAAATACAAAGTTACAAACCTTTTCCAAAACACATCATTTTATTATTAGTAACAAATTGCAACTTCCCATGGATAATTTACCTAAATGTGGAGCTAATTATGTGCCTCTTACTCCTCTCACCTTTTTAACAAGAGCCTCTAATTCTTATGCCAACCGCACCTCTATTATTTATGCCAATGTTGGCTTCAATTGGCGGGAAACCCATGAACGTTGTTGTCGCCTTGCTTCCTCCCTTCGCTCCTTAAACATTGTCAAGAACGACGTGGTAAGTCTATCTAGTTAATTATCGCGAGTAATTCTCATATATGAGTTCATTGAGATTATGGTCATATATTAATGTGGCTTGATTTTACAATCATGTAGGTCTCAGTCCTTGCACCAAATGTACCCGCCATGTTAGAAATGCATTTTGCTGTGCCTATGGCAGGGGCTGTGCTCAACGCCATCAATACAAGGCTGGACGCTAGAAATGTTGCCCTTATTCTCAAGCACTCCGAAGCCAAGATCTTTTTTATCGACTATGAATACATTGACAAAGCTAAAAAGGCCATTGAAATACTAATGTCCGACTTTCAAATGCCAATGCCTCTTGTCGTTGTCATTGATGACCTTGATTCCCCTACTGGAATCCGGTTAGGGGAGCTTGAATACGAGCAGTTGGTATTCCAAGGCAACCCTGAATATGTCGTTGAGAATATCGATGATGAATGGGATCCAATTACTTTGAGCTATACATCAGGTACAACTTCAGAGCCAAAGGGAGTTGTGTACAGCCACAGAGGTGCTTTTTTAAGCACTTTGAGTTTGATTTTGGGATGGGAGATGGGTACTGAGCCTGTCTACTTATGGTCCCTCCCAATGTTTCACTGCAATGGTTGGACTTTCACGTGGGGAATAGCTGCAAGGGGTGGCACAAATGTTTGTATCCGCAATACAACAGCCCAAGAAATCTACTCCAACATAGCGTTACACAAAGTAACGCATATGTGTGCTGCGCCTATTGTTCTCAGCATAATCCTTGAGGCCAAGCCACACGAGCAGCGTCAAATAATGACCCCGGTACAAGTTTTGGTGGGGGGTGCACCCCCACCAGCACCACTGCTTGAAAGAATCGAGAGGGTGGGATTCCACGTGGTCCATGCCTATGGGCTCACGGAGGCCACTGGACCAGCCCTGGTGTGTGAGTTTCAAGCCAAGTGGAACAAATTACCGTGGGAAGAACAAGCCAGGTTAAAGGCAAGACAAGGGCTGGGCATACTAACACTTGCTGATGTTGATGTGAAGAACTTCAAGAATATGGAAAGTGTGCCTCGTGATGGGAAAACAACAGGGGAAATATGCCTGAGGGGAAGCAGTATCATGAAAGGGTACTTAAAAAATGAAAAGGCGAATTCAGAAGTATTTAAGAACGGTTGGTTTTTCACAGGGGATATGGGAGTGATTCATCCAGATGGGTATTTGGAAATCAAAGATAGATGCAAAGATGTAATCATATCAGGTGGAGAGAACATTAGCAGCGTTGAAGTAGAAAGTGCAATACTAAAACATCCATATGTAATAGAGGCCTCTGTTGTGGCAATGCCACATCCAAGGTGGGGTGAAAGTCCATGCGCCTTTGTTATATTGAGGAAAGACTCGAACTTGAAAGAATCAGATGTCATAGCACACTGTAGGAAAAACTTGCCGGGATTCATGGTACCAAAGAAGGTTCAATTTGTGGATGAATTGCCTAAAACAGGAACCGGGAAAGTGCAGAAGAATCATTTGAGAGCAGTGGCAAAGACATTTGTCGTGTCTGATCAAACAAGCAAAAAATCAAGCCAAATAAAAAGGGAAAATCCTAGATCATACAATCAAAATTATGAGCAGATTCTTGCTCTGTCTCGTCTCTAGAGATTGAAGAAAGACTTAACAAGTGTTTGAACTTTTTCTTTTTTCTCCTTTTGGCTGCAGCTGAGTTGTTTAACTCTCTCTAATCACATCTGTAATTGGTGTTAACTGTATGCGTTGTCTTCGGATATTTAGTTTTTAATACTTCAAGAATTTGTTTATAATTTCATGTTAATATTTTTTTTTTGAATGTTAGTTTATACAAGTTGACAAGAAGGTGATTATTATTTCTCAGTATAATCACTAACACTACCATCTATCACTAGTTACCCATGGGTATGTTTTACAATATTATTATCTCCCTATTTGTGTAATTGTTTTATCCTTATTTTTAATTAATTTTTTTAAAATTATAAATTTAATTTATTTAAATTACAAATTATAATTATAACTTATAAACTTCAAGATATTTAAATCTTAAAAACTTAATTAGACTTAACTTGCAAACTTAATAAGTAATTTTTTTTTAAAAAAAAGATATCTTTAGATTAAACTTAAGTAAAATATTAGATTATATATTTAAAAACTATTGATTTAAACTTAGAAAAATAAAAAAATATTCATATTTTCGTAATGCAAAAAAATTATTTTTTGAAATAACTAGATGTGTCATCCTGTTTCATTTCGGTCCGTTCCGATTCCATCCCGATATATAGTGAGACGGGACGGCTGAGTATCCGTCCTGATAATTCCGGTCCGGTTCATCCCGATACCGATCAACTCGTCCCGTTGCGGTACCGATTTGTTTCGATCCGGTGATCCCTTTTCGATTCATTGCTCAGTCTTAGATATAATCAAATAATTCTACTTAATTTGGAATAAATAGTACACATCGTTTGTTGTGCGAAGTGAAAATGAAAGTTAAATCACAATTTGATCTTCCTTTTTTGGGGATGATTGTATTTTATAGAGAAAATGACATAAATAGTCTCTTCATTATTGGAGTAGGTCTAAAATGGTCCTTTAACTATACACTTGACGAATATAGTCCTTTAACATTTTAAAAATTTCTCAGTTTTGGTCCCTTAACTATACATTTATCAATTTTACTCTCTTTACTATAAAATTACTGATTGTAGTCCTTTAAGTATTTAAAGATTTATCACGCTCGGTCTTTTTCCATTTTTAAAAATATAAATAGCTTATGTTCATATTACGGAACATGTCTCGAGAAATTAAATCTTTTAGCAATTTTTTTTGTTTCTCTCTCTCTGCTTCATTTTCTTCAAATTAACCTTATGCGAAGAATCTTAAACTTAATGATGCAAAATAAAATTCATGAGCAAAGAAAGTATAAATCATAAATTTATTCAATAAATGATAAAATAAAACATATTTATTGTTATTAATGACATGAATATGCTAAACTTTAATATAAAAGAAATAAATTATTTTCGTTAAATTCAAAGTTTGTACTTCAACGACTTCATTGAGCGAAATTTGTTTAATTTTTAAGAAATTGAAATTTATAAAATGGTATATTTGCAATATTTTGAAATAGATCAATTTTATTATTCTATTTATTTTATTTTACGTAAAGAATTTGAGTAAATTCAACAAAATTCATACTAATTAAAATATTCAAGTGCGACTTCAAGTCATTAAAACAATTACGTATATGCTTAATTTTATCACCCATTGAATAAAATTAGGACTTATATCTTGTTTCCTCATTAATTTTATTTTGAATCGCAGCCGTTATTGTTCTTTTTGTAACAGTAGTTTGAAAAAAAGGTGGGGATAGAGAAACAACTTTAAAAATGGGTTAAAGATTTACGTTCACGAATATTTTTATTAATATAAACCTAAGCTATTTGTATTAAAAAAATGAACAAAGACCAAACATGATAAGTTTTTTAATACTTAAAGGATTAAAATCGGTAAGTTTATAGTTAATGGAATAAAATTGGTAAGTGTATAATTAAGGGATCAAACCTGATAAAACTTTGAATAGTTAAAGGAATATATCCGTCAAGTATATAGTTAAAGGAATATATCCGTCAAGTATATAGTTAAAGGACCATTTTAGACCTACTCCTATCCTATATAGTTAAGGGACTATTTTATGTCGTTCTCTCGTGTTTTGTATGATAGAGCAATTTAACTAATTTTTAAAATTAAATTAAACTATATTTATTTGATATTTTAAAATAAAATTTCAACATTTAAAAATTTAGAGAGAAATTACTATAAATAAATAAAAAAATTCATATCAATAAGATGAAAAGTATGTCTTAAAATGTAGATAAAATTCATATCATTTGACTCTAAAAAAAAAAGACTATAACAATTAAAAAGAAACAAAGAAAATATCATACAACTTTGAATTATGCTTGAAAATAAATATTGTAAGAATTGATATCCTCAGTTGATTTAATGGATGGTCATCCACGTATATGACCAGGGAATTTATTCTTCCTTAATACCTTCTAAGTCAAACATGTTAACATAGGGTCATGAAATCCACCTCACGTGTGCAGGGGCAGACCCGTGTGGATTCCATCGGATTCACTTAAACATTATCGACAAAAACTTACAAGATAAATTTTTTATATTTATGTGAATATATATATTTTGAACCCCTTAAAAGACAATAACAAAATCTATAACCTAGCGACAGTTCCTCTTGAAATTAAGCTTCAGAGGGTTCTTCTTAAGGGTAGGCATAAACACCGGAAAACTGAAACACCAAATCGAACTAAAATTTTTTCAGAATTTTGATTTCGGTATTTCAGTTTTTGGTTCAATGTTCGATTTACTTTTTTGTATTTTTTGATATTTTGATTCGGTTTTCGGTACGTATTATTTTGATTTTTGATATTTCGATTTAAACCGAAATATACTATAATTTATATTATATTAATTAATAATTATTAATATTAAATAAATTTTCAAAAAAAGAAACCCTATGGCCCTATTCCTCTCTCTTTCATCTTTTTAGTGATTTTCTTTTTCTCTTGGTCTTTCATCTTCTTCTTGACTCTTTTCCTCTTCCTCTTCCTCTTCTCCTCTTTCGAGTTCCGCCAGCCAGAAGCAGCAGCCACGCCGGCCGTCCACCAGAAGCAGCAGTAGCAGCCGCGCTGTCCGCCAAAAGCAGCAGCAGCCGCCGCGCCGTCAAGCAGCCAGCAGCAGCCGCGCCGTTCGCCATCAAGCAGCCAGCAGCCGCGCCGTCCAACATCAAGCAGCCAGCAGCCACGCCGTTCGCCATCAAGCAGCCAGCAGCCGCGCCGTCCAACATCAAGCAGCCAGCAGCCACGCCGTTCGCCATCAAGCAGCCAGCAGCCGCGCCGTCCAACATCAAGCAGCCAGCAGCCGCGCCGTCTCAGGCCCATTAAAAAACCAAAATAAAAAATCGAATCGAATTAATAATAATCGAATTGAATTAACAAAAATCAAACCGAACTAAAATATTTCAGTTCGATATTCAGTACACAATTTACAAAATCGAAAACCAAAAAAAAATCCGAAACCAAACCAAAATACCGAATGTCAAACCCTAGTTCTTCTTATCCATGTGTTAGCGTTTTACATTTTTTTGGTTTCAGTTTTTTTTAGTTGCGTGTTATCCTGATATTTCAAAAAGAAAGAAGAAATTAAAAAAATCTTTGATGATTGACTAAAATATCAAATTTGATTCTTGAAGCAGGCCACACTTCTTAATTGACATTGAAAAGCCGAAACCACACTTCTCTCAGACTGCAGCCCTTTTTTAGTCACGAAAAAAAAATATTAGTATATTTTAATCAGAAAAAGACCATATACTATCGGTTCATTCAAATTATTTCTATATGTACACCAGTATATTTACTTCGTGGAGGAACAAAGATTTCTATCTCTACCCCCACGAGTTTTTATTCAGTTGAATTTAAAATTCAAAAGCGGGTATTTATATTAATTCAGATAGTTTTGATGATATTAATAAATTATGTTATGTTATTATTTAATTTAATTGAATGTTTAAGAAAGAAAATTATCGATTTTTCATGAAAAAAATCTCAAAAAAATATTTATTACTCCCTCTTTTCCATAATAACTTAAAATTTGAGTACATTGAACATAATTTTTTATTTTTATCTTTATTAGTTATTATAAAAAATGAATATTAGTAATAATTAATTTCAGTACTAACTCAAAGGGTAAATTGAAAGAATAATTTTAAAATAGTCTCAAAGATTGAAAACTTAAGTTAATTTAAAAAATAAAGAAGAATTCGAAGCTTAAGTTATTATAAAATTGAAAGAGTAATTTTTTTTTCCAGGAAAATTGATGTCCATTCATTAATTTTTAATTCCTTTTAAGAAGTTGTATATGTGCTTAGCTTAAATTAAATTATCCCAAACTATTTATGAGAGAATATCTTTTAACTCGAAATTATTTATTTTGAATTAGATCATCGGTTGAGATGTGGATAAGGTTGAGATTCAATTCCATATGGCTCATATATATATTTCTTCAAAAGGGATTGCTGATCATTTCAGTCTTTCTACATATAGTTAAAAAAAATAAAAATTTCATAACGAAAGAGATTGGTCCTTGTTCAATGTTCACTCATGATATAATTAACCAGTCTGTTATTTTTTTTATATATATTTAACTGCTTCGGGTCAACATCATTCGAGGCTTAAATAAAATTTTTATTCTCTCCAATATAAGGAGTATGTACTTAACGTTATTTTTCATCAATACTATCAATATGATCAACAGATCAATACTACCAATATTGCTCAACATATCGATACGACTAGTACCATCAATGCATCAATAAATCCTTGATTTCTCTCCAGGTACTTAGATGTGAGATTTTTACATGTATCAGAGTCGGGCCCGTCTCACCCGATGTTAGGGCCCCCAAAATCAAAATTGCCCACACACTAAATGCTTCGCGCTGGGTGTGAGGTGGGGTGTTAAAGAATGACAAAAGTGTCACAGCGGTGGTTAATGAGATGGGTGGAGTCCTTATATGGCTTGGGCAATCCTCCTCCCTTTGAGCTAACTTTTGGGGTGTGACTTAGGCCTAAGACCTAATTTCACATGATATCAGAGCTTAAAGCTTTTCGCTCTCTGAGTATTGATCCAAAAAAATAATAATTAAAAAAAAAAAAACCCAAACGTTGCAATGACCTCTTCTACCAAAAACCATGTCAACCTTCTTACTTCACCAAATAATTGTCGCTTGCTTCATTAAACTTAAGCCACCAAACTACCTCATAAAGAAGATACATATCCCAATTAATCTAAGAAAGCATGCACCTAATTGTGGGTTGCTCAACTGTCAAGGAATGCGAAAAAATCTTTTTAAAAAATATACATTCAAGCACCAAAAACAATTAAATTTTGCTAGAAGCTTAGGTAAAACACCATAACCCACCCTTAATCAATTTGATAATACTCTCACATGCTTTGATACAAAGGAAGAGGAAAAGAAAATGTCATAACAAAATCATAACATGGTATTATCTGCCCAAAAAGACGAGGGAAGAGGAAACAACAACATCAACATATCGAAGCATTGATAAAATAAGTTTTCGCTGGGTATTCAAAGTTATTTTTTTTTGCTGGATATTCGGCAACAACAACATCAACATAAAAATAAGTTTTTGCTGGGTATTTAAAGATTTTTTTTTCTGGATATTCAAAGTAAGCTAGGAGTAACTGTGTCTCTACTCACTAGTGTGAGGGGAAGTGTTGAAGAAAAAGGAAACTGACGATTGGAACCTGTCAAGAGGACAGGTCTAACGCAGTTGACTGACGTTCTGCAACAATTGTTGATGAAGAAGGAAGTTGAAGATTGAAACATGTTGAAGGAACAGGTCCAACGAAACTGACTGGCGAGTTTAGAGTACTGCTAAATTATAGTCACACAAGGATTAGACTACTTATGTTAGTTAGGATTATATTTCGTCTAGAATGAAATTATGATTAGAATTATTTTACAACTAGGATTAGATTACTATTAGAATTATAGTATAATTAGGATATAAATTATTTATAATTGCATTATTATTATTATCATAATAGTAATATGTATTGTATTAGGACTCTAAGTATAGTTAACTTAAGACTCTACAATTCTCTAATATATAAGGAGTATGTACTTAATATTATTATTCATATATTACCAATTTTGATCAACATATCAATTTATCAATACGATCAATATCATCAATATATTAATAAATCTTTGATTTCTCCGTTACTTAAATGTAAGATTTCTACATGAAATTCTACACTCTTCTCTTCCCCTTGAACCTAATAACCTATTTCTTTTTTCTTATTTTCTTATTCAACAATTTCAAAATAAAATTATTGATTGAATCAATTGGTATTTGAATTTGAAAGTGACATATTGGTATTTGAATTTGGTCACATCAAAAGAACTAAAAAGCTCTTCTTGATTGTGTTTGAATTTGGTATTTTTTGTTTCTTCTTTTTGATTCACACCATGCGAAAAGATTCAGTTTTTTAAGGAAAAGATGCACTAGATAGCTCTTCTTAATCATGCTTTTATAGTGAAATTGAGGTAATTTGACTTGGGTCTTGTTTCTTTCTTCCTTTTGGTTCACATTCTTTTCAAAAGATTCATTTTCATGGTGGAGTTGCACTGAATTGGGTTTTCTTATTTAGTCCTTTTGGTTCATATCCTTTTCAAAGATTCAATTTTTCATAGTGGAGTTACACTAAAAATCTCTATTTGATTGTATTTTAATGGTGATATTGACCAAATTCTATCACAACCAAGAAGAGTTTTTTTAGTTCTAATTGGTACTTAACACAATCAAGAAGAGTTTTTTTTTTATTTCTAATTGGTATTATATTCGTTCGTTCTTGGTTGATTATTGATATGAATATATGTATTATATTTTAGTTATCATTGATTGAGGTTGTGTATGATGATGAGATGAGAATAGGTTATTAGGTTTGAATGGTAGAGAAGAAATGTTCAAATCTTTTAATTTTAATGATTTTTAATTTGGTTTCGGTTAAAAATTGTGGATATGGGTCATATGGTAGAAATTTTTTTGGAGGGTTGAAATTTAAATTTATTCAATAGGAAGATGTCACATAATAAGTAAAAAATAAAAAATTGTTAGTATTAAGGATAATTATGAACCAAAAAGATAAATGAAGAATATTTTAAATCCAATAAATGTACGAGATTATATTTTTAAACTTTTTACTATAGTCCATGAGAATTTTTGGTTCTTTACCTTTGCAAAATAGGAATATAGGAAAGGAAATAAACGAGAATCATGAGGTGATCGACCAAATCAATGTGCACTAAAACGTTTAGGGGGTCAACTAGACAGGGGGCTAAATTTTATATATATAAAGCAGAACCCATCAGCTCCATTTCTTATACAAATTTTCTATACCTCTCCAAAATACAAAGTTGCAAGCCTTTTCCAAAACACATCATTTTATTATTAGTAACAAATTGCAACTTCCCATGGATAATTTACCTAAATGTGGAGCTAATTATGTGCCTCTTACTCCTCTCACCTTTTTAACAAGAGCCTCTAATTCTTATGCCAACCGCACCTCTATTATTTATGCCAATGTTGGCTTCAATTGGCGGGAAACCCATGAACGTTGTTGTCGCCTTGCTTCCTCCCTTCGCTCCTTAAACATTGTCAAGAACGACGTGGTAAGTCTATCTAGTTAATTATCGCGAGTAATTCTCATATATGAGTTCATTGAGATTATGGTCATATATTAATGTGGCTTGATTTTACAATCATGTAGGTCTCAGTCCTTGCACCAAATGTACCCGCCATGTTAGAAATGCATTTTGCTGTGCCTATGGCAGGGGCTGTGCTCAACGCCATCAATACAAGGCTGGACGCTAGAAATGTTGCCCTTATTCTCAAGCACTCCGAAGCCAAGATCTTTTTTATCGACTATGAATACATTGACAAAGCTAAAAAGGCCATTGAAATACTAATGTCCGACTTTCAAATGCCAATGCCTCTTGTCGTTGTCATTGATGACCTTGATTCCCCTACTGGAATCCGGTTAGGGGAGCTTGAATACGAGCAGTTGGTATTCCAAGGCAACCCTGAATATGTCGTTGAGAATATCGATGATGAATGGGATCCAATTACTTTGAGCTATACATCAGGTACAACTTCAGAGCCAAAGGGAGTTGTGTACAGCCACAGAGGTGCTTTTTTAAGCACTTTGAGTTTGATTTTGGGATGGGAGATGGGTACTGAGCCTGTCTACTTATGGTCCCTCCCAATGTTTCACTGCAATGGTTGGACTTTCACGTGGGGAATAGCTGCAAGGGGTGGCACAAATGTTTGTATCCGCAATACAACAGCCCAAGAAATCTACTCCAACATAGCGTTACACAAAGTAACGCATATGTGTGCTGCGCCTATTGTTCTCAGCATAATCCTTGAGGCCAAGCCACACGAGCAGCGTCAAATTATGACCCCGGTACAAGTTTTGGTGGGGGGTGCACCCCCATCAGCACCACTGCTCGAAAAAACCGAGAGGGTGGGGTTCCACGTGGTCCACGCCTATGGGCTCACAGAGGCCACTGGACCAGCTCTTGTGTGTGAGTGGCGAGCCAAGTGGAACAAATTACCAAGGGAAGAACAAGCCAGATTAAAGGCAAGACAAGGGCTGGGCATACTAACACTTGCTGATGTTGATGTGAAGAATATGGAAAGTGTGCCTCGTGATGGGAAAACAGCAGGGGAAATATGCCTGAGGGGAAGCAGTATCATGAAAGGGTACTTAAAGAATGAAAAGGCAAATTCAGAAGTATTCAAGAATGGTTGGTTATTCACAGGGGATATGGGAGTGATTCATCCAGATGGGTATTTGGAAATCAAAGATAGATGCAAAGATGTGATCATATCAGGTGGAGAGAACATTAGCAGTGTAGAAGTAGAAAGTGCAATAATGAAACATCCGTATGTAGTAGAGGCCTCTGTTGTGGCAATGCCACATCCAAGGTGGGGTGAAAGTCCATGTGCTTTTGTTATATTGAGGAAAGACTCAAACTTGAAAGAATCAGATATAATAGCACACTGTAAGAAGAAGTTAGCAGGATTCATGGTACCAAAGAAGGTTCAATTTGTTGAAGAATTGCCTAAAACAGGATCAGGAAAAGTGCAGAAGAATCATTTGAGAGCAGTGGCAAAGACATTTGTGGTGTCTGATCAAACAAGCAAAAGGGAAAAGCCTATAGCACACAATCAAAATCATGAGCAGATTCTTGTTCTGTCTCGTCTCTAGAGATTGAAGAGAAAGACGTTTGGCTTGTTTAATTCTAATCACGTCTCTACTTTGAGTTTACCGTATGCCTTATTTAGTTTTGTAATATTTCAAGAATTTGGTTATAATTTCATCTTCTTCTTTTTTTTTTTTCTCTTAATGTTAGTAGAGAAGAAGGTGATTATAATTATTTGTCGGTAATCACTAACGCCACAATCTATCACTAGTTACCAATCCTCAACCCTATTTTGTTATTTAATCCATAAAAGAGTTCTGCTCCTATAAAAAAAAGTAGAGTAATTTTATGTTGATCAACGAATGTACTCTTCGGGCAGAACTTTACGATGTTGTTGAGCTATTGTAACTAAAAGAGCATAAGTTGAGAATTAGATTGATGGATCGATGCAGATTGTACCACATTTCAGTGAACTTCAATTGCCTTAAAGAGAGCAATGTATACCACCTTAGTATAAATTTTAATTTATTTATTTTCAATTATAATTTATGATATATTTCACTCACATTTTTCTAAAAATTTTGTGCATTACATGTAAAATAGTTGTAAAGACATTTCACTTTGGACTATTTAATTAATTTAGAGTCGTATGACGTTGTTGAGCTATTATATTTAGAAGGCCGCATTTCAAGATTATAATGCTGGATAGTGAAGATTATATCGTGTGTAATGGATTTAAATCGCTTTAAAGAGAATGATATATCCACATCTCAAGATAATTATTTATTTATTTCTTTTATTTTCAACTTATTTATGATATATTTCACCCTTACACATTTCGAACATTATATGTAAAATAGTTGTAAAGTCATCTCATTTTCTTATCATAATTTCAAATATTAAATGCTTTCCCTTATTCGTTTATGTGAAGCACAATTATTTCATTTAAATCATGATTTTTGAAGGTCTTTTTTAGGTTCTTAAAACTTGGGGCATAACCAAAGAGGAAAAAGCGAAGTCTCAGTTTGTTTCACTTCAAGGGATTGTTGTAACTTTGAATTATTCTCTGAAAATAAACATGGTTCGAATTTCTTCAATGTTTTTTGAAATGTATCAGTTGATTTGCTGGTCATTCAAGCAGAAATGATTTCCTTTCAATATCTTTTAAGTTAAGATAGTTACGTAAAATATGTCTAATATAACTTATATATATCTCAGGTGTAATTTGCAAATTATGAAAATTTCCCAATGAGAAGTTGCATGTTATTCCGGAGATCTCAAAAGTCAAAACAAAAAGTAAAATATTCTTTGATAATTGGCTAAAGTATCAAATTTGATTCTTCAAGCAGGGCCACACTTCATATAAAATCATGTTATATACTTTGAACTGTCTCTATTTATGCGACTTACTTTTCTTATCAATTTCATTTTAAAAAATGATATTTTCATATCAAATAACAATTTGTTGGTTATGAAGGGAGATTAGGGCATCATGCAAAAGCTTAAAATTGTAAATCATATAATTAATAAATCAAATGCCAAAAACTTATACTAAAATCAAAATATAATTGTATGAAACTTGGTCAATTGGCCTGCATTTTAAAAACTAATAAAATACATTAAAATTTTAGAGAGAACTATGAGAATAGAAATCTTAGATTTGTAGATATTCAAATTTTTCCTAAAAAGAATAAACCAAATATAGAAGAAAATATTTTCTTTCATAAAAAGTTCTAACATTTATGATAATATTTTAATTTTTCTTTATGAAAGAAAATAAACTTCAAATAAAGTAAGAAAAGTAGAATAAAACTCTAACACATTTTAATTTTGTAATGTTAAATTTATTCTTAATGAAATGATTTATAGACACATAAATATTTATCACTTATTTTAAATCATAAAATTCAAAATTTTTAATTTATTTCTTAAATTACGTATCGAATTAAACTAATTCATATAAAATGGACTACGGTAACGGTACCTATAGTTGGATCCCTTTTTTATACACCACTGACTGGGACAGTGAATTGACATTGTAAACCTGAAACCATACTTCTCTACAGCCTTTTTTAAAGTTTCTGAAAACCATGAATTTGTACAATTAAAAACTATTGAAGATATGCATATATTCTTAAAAAAAAAAAGTAGTTAACGAATAACAACTTTCTTACCAAACTATAAAATTATTAGTAAATTTTTAGTCAGAAAAAATATATATATTATAGAAAATTTTTAGTGGTTGATCAAAAATTTTCACCAAAGAAAAAATCATACTATAAAGAAATAAACACACGAATAACTTAAGAAAATTCAACATACAATACATATATTTTGTTTATAAAAATCACTTAACAGTAAAATGTAATTTTTTCATAAAAAAATAATGTCACTTCAACACAAGCGTAGCCTGAATTGGTATAAGATTTGTTTAAACTATAGTTATAGTGAATTAAATTATTTCGATTGTTAATCGTAATACATGTTTCAACTCAAAATTATTTATTTCGAAATCAGATCGTTGGTTGAGATGTCGATATAATTGAGTTTAAAATTCCACATGGCTAATATTTATTTGTTCGAAACGGATTGCCGATTTTTTCTGTCCTCGTATTAAATTAAAGTAAAAAATCTTAATGAAAGAGATTGATTCTGTCCAATAATGTTCACACACATGACTTATTTTTTGGCTGTTTGTAATTATTAATTTATTTTTAAAATAATATATACATTAAAATAATAATACTTGATATAGTGTGTTTATTTTTTTATTTCTATTAATTATGAAGTGAATGGATTAAAATTTAAAATTTTTATGAAGTTTTACATATTTAAATGTAATTAGTTGAAGATACAATAAATTTTAAATAAATTATTTGTTATTAATTTGTTAAAAAAATAATCAAATATAACTTAAAAAAAAAATAACTAACGACAAAAAAATATATATATTTCAAATTTCATTTATGGTGCAAGAGGCAAACATTCAGGTCCCGTCTTGGAACGCCATTAAAATAGTTAGGAAAATATTTTTTTCACTTAGAATTCATGTGGTTGATATAGTTGTCAAGATAAGGAAGGTAATGTTTTTTTTTTTTACAAAAAATAATTATTATTTGTCATTTTTTTATTGGATGAAATAAAAAATATCTTTATTAATTTTTTCCCATAATTTATTCAAATCAAAACAATACTCTCTCCGTTTAAAAAGGGATGACTTAATTTGACTTGGAACAAAGTTTAAGAAAAGAAAGAAGACTTTTTAATCTTGTGGTTATTAATTAAAGTTATGTCAAATGTATCAAAATGTCGTTTAATCTTGTTGTCTTAAACATGTCACGTGAAAAGTTAAAGTTAAAATGTTGCCAAAAAAAGAAACGAGTCATTCTTTTTGAAACAATTAAAAAGTTTATTTTAAAAAATGAATAATGTGTTGGGAGAAAAAAGTTTTTATTATGTTAAGTTTATTTTGAGAAAATAAAAGTAATTGGATTATATGTTAGTGTTAAAAGAAACAAAAGTTATTGCTAGGCAATTTTCCAATATGAATAACAGAGAAGTTACTCTAAGAAGTTCACAATTGTAGTCTTATAAAAATATATTTATAAAATAAATAACAATGCTAAATGGTTTGACTTGGTGTAACTTAATTAAATAATAAATAGGGTGGATTTGAAGGGTTCACCATGAATCTTTTTTGTGACATATTGTTCATTTCTATCTTATTTGTTTGCAATGTGGTTAAGAAGTTAACAACTTTGCTGCCTTGATACTGAATCTTCGTGAAATTAAATTTTAACTTTATGATAGCAGCAAGTTAATCATATTAAAATGGATAAATATATGAAAAAAAACTATTATTCTATTTAGTCTATAGTTTTAAGTTAGAAGAGATTTTGAGTTACATATTACTTGACACAATTTTCAGTAATAGTATTATGCTATGTATTACAAAAATATGATTAGATTGAGTCAGGAAAATATGATTAGATTAAATTAAATATGTGATTAAAATTAATATTTTTCCTCTTTCGTCGACAAGAAATTTTGTTGCTTATCTTTCGAATATACACAGGTCAACTCTTATTTAGTCTAATAGCTCGAAAATTTATATTGGAGAAGTAACTTTAGTATAGCAAGGTCGATCAAAAAGGCAAACATGAATTCTCAAAATTAAGACAAAACACTATATTTGTTCAATCCACTCGATTATTCTTATGAATATTTAAAATTATTTCTAAGATACCAATATTAACTACTGCTACGAATTAGAAAAGAAAAATAAAGTTGGCAAAAGTGATGTTTATGAATGTGCATAACACGACAAGACAATATGTCAAATCGAATTTTCAAACGAAAAATAATTGTCTTCAATAATTAATTTTCTTTAATTCGGTCACTGACGTTACGCTTTATGCGTGGATTGAATACATAGAGGTAGTTAGGAGATTATGGGTGCAGTCTCAGATGATCCTTTTTCAAGCTTTACAATCACACCAATATGCTAAAAAGAAACCAAAGCAGGTTATTCAAGATTCAAGGAATAACATAACAGAGTTCGGACTTCATCAGGTGGAAATGAAGAGGTAAAGGTTGAATCATTTACAAAATAGGAAAAGAGAGAAACCAGAAGCATGAGGTGAGGACCAAGCCAACGTGCACTAAATCAGGTGCCTCCTGCCTCTATTAAGGGAACTTCTAAAGAAATCGTTTTCTTCTTTTTTACATATTCTACTCCATATGAACCATGCCACTCCCACTTCCAGACTTCATGTTCATCGGTACAAGCACAGCATGAAAGAACAAGTGAACTCTAGACAAGGATTAGGAAAGGTTCAATGAATTTATGAGAGATGATGATTTTCAAGTACAACATGATGCAGTTCGAGATCCTTCTGCTGGTCTGTTTTCAAGAACCATTCCTGCTGGATTTTGAGTGGGTTGAGCTGTAGGCAACCGTTTAGCTGCAAAATGGCAAACTCCAAAGATTAAGGGAGTCGAAGCAAATAAAAAAGACATGCTATTTTTCTTACACAGAAGTAAAAGACCTACATAAAGTGCAAGCCCTAAAAGAATAAAAGTTTTCAGAATTTTAACCTGCTAGAGTTTAGGCATGTGTAGAAAAATAACTTTAACACTTGTAAAAGACTTGAGATGTTTCTCCCCATTCAATATTAGCATACTTTTAGAAAGATTGATAAAAATGTTGGAGGTCTCCATGTTGGGGCTTGGGACTTCCATGTTGGAGGTCTAGGTTTGAACCCCTTGCCAGCAAAAGCTAGGGATTTGCCTTCTGAGTTGAGCTCGTCGCACCAAGCTTGCCTAGTGCGGGTTACCTCTCCTATGTGGTTTGCGAGCTATTGGATAGGAGTGGGTTTTTACCCTGTGAGCACCCAAAGGGTAGCAGCTGCGGGATTCCGGGTTTCCCTTGTATATATATATATATCACAAACTGTAATAAACATAGGGTAAA